TTGTTGGTCGGGCTTGGTTGCTCAGCCTGTATTCCCAGCACTTTGGGAGGCTGAGGCAAGTGGATTGCCTGAGCCTGCAGGTCCGAGACCCACCCAGGCAACTTGGCGAGTCCTTGTCTCTACAATAAATAAAAAATTAGCTGGGCGTGGTGGCACATGCCTGTAGTTCCAGCTACTTGGAAGGCTGAGGCGGAAGAATCGCTGGAGCCCAGCAGGGCAAGGTTGCCGTGGCCAGGAGCATGCCACTGCACTCCAGTCTAGGTGACAGAATGAGACTTCAACTCAAAAAAAAAAAAGAAGTTGTCAATAGAAGTTGAATTATGAATTATCTGTCTAGTTGTTGTTCTCTGGTTGTCTCTAAACAGTGTAATTGCCTCATAACGTTTACATTACTTTCATACTACCTTTTGGTGTTTACAATAGGATTCTAAGAACCGTAATTGCTAGTATCCAGTTGACTTGCACCCTTTACAATGAGAATCCAGTAGGCTGGAATTCTTGGTGGAAATACTTTCAGTTCTATTCTTTGGGACCCATTTACTCTGAGGGTCAGCTAAGTACTGCATCTTATATCTAAAGTCCTGAGTGGTAGTACTCCAAACATTAAGGGATAAAAGGTTGTAATATATCTAGCACATGATTAGAGGTTTTGAACAAAAATAGTACAACTATCTACCTATCTCTGAAAGCATTTACACATCAAAACACTAGCAATATTAGCTATTAATTGATTCAAAAATTTAATTTTGTTAATTTTCTTTATTTACATGTTCTTATTTTTTTTGTACAGAATTGTTCATCTAAAGAGAAAACATGGGAATGAACTGCAGAAGTTGAGGATTCCTTTTTTCTGTTCTCATGGTGTCTTTCATTTACTTTCTTGATGTAACAGGGGCTTCAGACAATTAATATTGAATTGGAATTTGCAATACTATTCTATTTTTACTATACATACATCTAAACATTTAATGCTGAGAATTCAAGTCCTCCCTGCCTCCACAGATTTCAGATGGAAAAAACCTTCCTTAAAAATTGTCATCTCAACATGATTCTTTCATGAGTGAATGTATTAGAGAGGAATAAAGTGGATGATAGCAATATAATAACTAATCTATAGTTATGTCAATATATACAGTCATGGATTTCAATGAAAAACAGAATGGTAATGTCTTTGAGTCCATGAAAATATTTTACTTTCCTTTTCCACCAACCTCATTTCTTATTTTCTACAAATTTAGAAATAAAAAACAAATATTGCCTGGTGGCCCCTAAATTATAATTTCCTTGGAATATCTACCAGTGGATCCTAATTTTTCAGGTACCATACTCTCCTAAAATTACCTGTCAATTAGGATATAGGAACAGAGCTTCTTCCATGACTTCCAATACATGCTGCAAAGAAAACATCATGCTAACTAGATAGCGCTTTGGCCGTCATGCTTTGAAGAGAAATCCATCTTCTGTTTTCTCACTTATAAGCGTTAGTAGTTAAATTCTCTGTAAAATATCAAATTAAAAAATCCTTTTGTTGTGTATCACACGTTCTATTCAATGTTGATATTTGATCAGTTTGTTTTATGACTTGGCCTTTTTTTTTTTTGGTCTTAGTAGTTGGTGAGTACAGGTTGGGAGGGATGCTGTGATTACTGTCACACAGATGAGCCACTTGTGTGGGCATCTGTCAATTATCCCTGCTCTGGTGCTGCTCAAGTTTATTTGTGTCGTGGAAGCCCTAGGGCTAAGTACCAGGGGAGTCCTACCAAGCAGCTCTGGCAAGCATAGAGTTGATGGCAGCTTCATTATAATTATACTTCTTTGCATGGTTGCCCGGCTGTATCATCATAATAACTTTCCATACTAGAGGCCAAAAAGACAGAGAGATATACAAGCTGCTCAATATATTTCAACAAATTACATTATAATGGATGCCCTTTCCAACTGTTTTCCCCTTTGTAATTGTCCCCTACTCCCACTCAGCCTATCAGTTCTCTCACAAATAGGCAAAATATGGTTCTGTATATCCTTTTTATGTATAGCATATTGAGGACCACTTTTTTTTGTTCCTTAAAATAAATCATGTGTTTATCTTTTTAAATATGGATTTTAAGTTATTTTCTTTAATAGGTGGTATAACTGTATAATACGTATATGATAATAATAAAAATTGCAAACTTTTAGTGAACTTTTACTATGTGACAGGAAGTGTGCGAAACACTTAGCATACAACATTTCTTTTAAACCTTGCAAATCCTCTGAGATAGATGCTTCAGATGAGGAAAGGGAAACTCAGAGAAGGAAGTTACCCTGCCTAATGTCACTTGGGTAGTAAATTGCATTCAGGTAGTCTGACTTCAGAGTTCATGCTTTTGACTGTTTTAAACTCATTTATTGATTTTTGACTTCATGCTCTAGAAGTCCTTTCTGAGTGTCTTCTCTATTTCCTGATATTAAGTGAGTTCATTTAAAAGTTATTGCTTTATCAAATGGCCAATCATTGCATGACAAGATGTTCAACATCACTAGTCATCAGTGAAATGTAAATTAAGACCACAATGAGAAACCCATTAGATTGGCTGACATTAAAATGATTAACAATTCTGGTCAGGTGCAGTGCTCATGCCTGTAATCCCAGCACTTTGGGAGGTAGAGGATTGCCTGAGCCCAGGGGTTCAAGACCATGCTGGGCAACTTGGCAAGACCTCGTCTCCAGAATTAAAGAAAAAAAATTAGCCAGTTGTGGTGGTACACAACTGTGGTTCCAGCTTCTTGGAAGGCTGAGGAGGAAGGATTGCCTGAGCCCAAAAGGTCGACACTGTGGTGGCCATGAGCATGCCACTGTACTCCAGCCAGGGAAACAGAGTGAGACTCAAAACAAGACAAAATAATGTATCAACACATGGACTTCAAATATTTCCTATTGCTCTTACAGCAAGTTCTTATTATAAAATAATACATTGGCTTATTTCAAGGAGAGAATGTCTTTGTTTTGAGTTTCCAGTATTCTCTGCTGGGGCAGTGTGTGGTCTGTGGACGCTGATCCCTCTCAAGCTACGATGGTGTATGTGAAAATTCATAAATTCTATAAACCCTCATTCTTAACCCACTGGTGATGGAGCTACATTAAGAATTTTTTTAAAAAATAGAAATGTAAGAAGAATTTGAATCAAGAGTTGAAAAAATACATTGAACTCTCAATCATTGCTGATAGGAATGAAAAATGGTACAGCTAATTTGAAAGACAGTTGGGCAGTTTCTTATAAAAGTAAACATACTCTGTACATACTTTCCAGCACTCCTGCTCCTTGATATTTACCCAAATTAGTTGAAAACTTATACCTACACAAAAACATGCACATGATATTTATAACTGCTTTATTCATAATTGCTCAAGCTGGAAAACAACCAACATGTTTTTTAGTAGGGGAGTGGATAAGCAAACTGTGATATATCTAGAAAATGGAATATTATTCAAAAGAAAGAGCATTATCAAGCCATTAGAAGATAGAGAGGGCAATCCCCTCGAGTCCTCTCCTGCTCTGGGAGCTTTTCTGTACTCTCGATAAATCCTACTTTCTAAAAAAAAAAAAAGATAGAGAAGATACTTAAATGTATATTATTAAGTGCAAGAAACCACTCTGAAAGGGCTACCAATTGTATGATTCCAACTACATTCAGGAAAAGGCAAAACTATGGAACAGCAATAGATCAGGGATTGCCAGCGGGTAAGGGGGGAGGGAAGTATGAGTAGGTGGAGCACAGAGGATTTTTAAGGCAGTGAAATAAGCTGTATGATAATACAATGGTGGATACAGGTTATTGTGATTTGTCAAAGCTCAAAATGTACAAAAGCCAAGAACGAACCTTAATGTAAACTACGGATTTTGGGTGTTAATTATATATCAATGAAGGTTCATTAATGATAATAATTGTGCCCTCTGGTGTGGGATGTTGCAAGTAGGGTACGCTGTGCATGTGTGGGGCAGGAGATAGATGGGAAATCTCTGTATTTTCTGTTCAATTTTGCTATGTACCCAAAACTGCTCTAAAAAGTAGTCTGTTAAAAAAAAATATTGAACTAGTAGTTCATCATTTTTTCCATATTGTGTTAAACATAAGTCCAGTTTAATCTCAGGCATCATGATCTAAACTTTTGTTTTTTTGAGGTGGGTTCTCACTCTGTTACCCAGGCTGAGTGCAGTGACATTATCACAGCTCACCACAGCCTTGACCTTCTATGCTCAGGCAATCCTTCTGCCTCAGCCTCCTGAGTAGCTAGGACAATGGGTCCATGCAAGGACACTGAGGTGAGATTAACATTTTTTTGTAGAGCTGAGGTCTCACAATGTTGCCCAGGCTGGTCTCAAAACTGGGCTCAAGCAGTCCTCTGGCCTCCACCTCCCAAAGGGCTAGGCTTATAAGGAACCACTATACCCGCCCGACCTGATCTAAACTTTGTAGGTCATTTAGTCAAAATTTTGTTTTGGGATTTAATGTTGATGTTAAATGTGTTCAGTGAATTATTAATATGATAATAGATCTATTTACTTATTTTTATAGCTGATGGAGTGAAGAGAAAAAGGGAAATACACTTGTGATTGTGAATTGTTTATTGCATTTTCAGAATTCATTGTTTCTTCTCTGTCTTGAACAGAGATTCTTGTTGTTACTTTCAGTATCCCACATATTAGGATGTCACTATTTACTTTGCTTTTTATTTTTCATCAGATGAAATATCTTGGGCGAAGCTGTGGACTTTATTCTGGTATTATATTATTTGGACTTTATATTTCTGGTATTAGAGCCTTTATTTTTTGCAGATTTACTTTTAATTAGATTAGGACAATATTTCAATGTTGCATATAAAGCAGAATCATTGTGAAGGAAAACTATTATTTTTGATAGTAACAGAGATTACTTAAAATAGAATAGGGAGAATTCTGCATTCTTCCCTCTAAAAATTATTAATCAATACTCTTAAAATATTTTCTGTGTTTTGTCAGATATGGACAATATAAAGCCATTGGAGGGTGTAAAAATACTGGATCTTACAAGGTTTGTATTGGTTCATCTACATTTTGGTGATTGGATTTTTTCCTTCTCTCAAAACATTTATTTTGGGTTATAAGAGGATACTTATATATTTCTGTTGAAATTTTGGAGAATAGAAAAGAAAAAAGTTCTATAATCTTATAATTCCAAGAGATAATTAGTATAATATTTATACATTTTCTCCAATCTATATATTATATGTATATAATTTTAAAAAGGAAAAATTAGACCTATATATAAATGACAGTTTTATCCACATTGTAAACAATGTCATATTTAAAATATTTTCCAGTCATTCAAAATTCAACAAAACATAAGCTAGTATTTTATTATATAGATTTCACATGATTACTTAATCATCTCCTGATCTTTCAATATTATAAATTAGGCTTCCTGGTACACAAATCTTTGCCCAAGTTTTGAGTTCTTCCTCAAGATAGAATTCTAGAAATAGAATTATTGAGTCAAAGGGGATATACTTTTTAAAGCTCTTGATACATATGGCCAAATTACAGTTTTGACAATTTTGATTCTTACTAGCATTATATGAGCTTTCTGTGTTGATAGAGTATTAAGAAAAGAATTTATATATTAATAATAATTTTCAAGATGGTAATTAGTTTCTTTATCATTATTAACATTGTAGAATCCTGGCGGGACCTTTTGCTACTATGAATTTAGGAGATCTTGGAGCAGAAGTTATAAAAGTGGAGAGACCAGGTAAATCTATTGCTCCATTTTAAATAAATGGAAAAAAACTAATAAATGTGTTTAGTAATTCTTTACATATCCATTTATGTTGTTGTTGTTTTTTGAGACAGTGTCTCACTCTGTTATCCAGACTGGAATGCAGTGGCACAACCATGGTTCACTGTGGTCTCGAACTGCTGGTCTCAAAGTGATCCTTCTCTCTCCCAAGTAGCTGGGACTATAGGCATGCACTGTCATAACTTACTAATTTTTCTATTTTTTTTTTTTGTAGAGATGAGGTCTCGCTATGTTGCCCAGGCTGGTCTTGAACTCCTGGCTTCAAGTGATCCTCCCGCCTCAGTCTCCCAAAGTACTACTTGTTTTTCAAGGTATGAGCCACCATGCCTAGCTAAATATTTGTGTTTAGTGTACCAGTGAGTGGGATGAGGAGAGAATTGAAATGATTATTTTCTCTTCCCCATTCCTTATTTGCATCTAAATGTATACTAATGATCTCTTTTTACTCTTTATGTGTGCCAAGGGCTTAGACTCAAACCAGTTTCTTGTCATGCACCTGAAAGCTTCAGTTAGAAGCTGAGATGAGCTGGGCTTGGTGGTTCAGCCTGTAATCCCTCACCTTTGGGAGGCTGAGTTGAGTGGATTGCCTGAGCCTGTGGGTTTGAGACCCGCCTGGGCAGTGAGACCTCATCTCTACAATAAATCAAAAAATCAGCCGGGTGTGGTAGCGCATGCTTGTAATTCCGGCTACTTGGAAGGTTGAGGCGGAAGGATCGCCAGAGCCAGCAGGTCGAGGCTGCCGTGGCTGCACTCCAGTCTGGGCGACAGAGTGAGACTCCAACTCAAAAAAAAAAAAAAGCAAAAAAAGAAGCTGAGGTGCAGCATATAATAACAATGATGATAACAACACTTGTATAAGTGCCAGGCATAGTTCTAAACACTTTGCCAGTTTTAGTTTATTTAATCTTTACAACAACCCAGTAGGCTGATGCTATTATTTCTAGTTTATAAGTGAGAAAATAGGCACAGAGAGATAAAGCAATTTGTTCAAGGTTACACAGCTAAGAGGGAATATTCAGGCACTTGAGCTCTGATCCTTGCCCTTCTTAGAAACCTTCCTTGAGACTGAGATTAGGGTGGGCTTGGCCCACATGTGGGATAATGGGAAGGCAAGGACAAAGGGAGGATAAAAGGGAAGAAACAAAATACAAATGAAGGGGAGAAGAAGAAAGAATCAAAGTCCTTCAAAAAGGAATTCAAGTATCCCAACTGAAGTCATTCTTTTCTCTTTTCAATAAAAGCAACATTTCCCCGTTTTATAATTTTAAAGATTTTGAGGGTGAACACCAAAGCTTAGATCAATTTTTTGTCTTTATGTTTTCATCTGACATCTTTTCTGCTCTTCCTCATTTGTCCACCAATAACTATATTCTGTGTACACAATTCTCACTTTTATTTGGTGTCACGTTAGCATTTTGGTGTTTATTTCTTGATGTTATTGATAAAGTTGCTTAGAAAAGTATTGTTGTTGTGTGCCTTTTCTCTCCAATAAGCACTTAAAGGGCACAGTCTAATTTTTTTTTTTTTTGGCCTCTATATCATCCTATAAACAGTTGGTTTTGAAAGTTTTCAAAAATTGGTATTATTGCTTATTCTTCAAGATCTGATCCTTATGGGTCTGGAACAGAATTCCCAAATCAGTGAGACTGGTCTAGTGCTGAATAGTGTATATATACCTATAAGACTCACAAGAAACATATTTGCAATTAAACCAACTTATTAATGATTATAAGTGATATATCCCTATAAAGTAGAATCCTCAATCTGGAAGATTCAATTTCATACTAAATAGATCTTAAGAGGCCAAAGCAGTTATCAGAAGATTCTCTGATCAACATAAGGAATATTGTGTATTATTATATATTATTTATCTGACATTGTCCTTATAAGTCCCAGATGGTAGAAGTGACTGGTTAGCCCTGCTTTCTAGACATAATGATTCATTTATTTAGTCAATGATATTCATCACTCTTGATTATAGCTGGATACATGCTGAAAAATGTTTACTTTCTAGCTGAACATTTTTCTTTTTCAGTTTCCATAAAGCTTCTATTTTCCACATTGCTATCCAATTTCCATACCACAGCACTTTCTGATTTCAACCATTGGTTTTCTTGCATCTTCCATTTCTAGATAGAGAATTCAATCTAATTTCTCTTGCTATTTCCAGACTAATATTTGTATTTATATTAATTTTATAAATCACAATTCTCTATTTATTTAGACCTAGCTCTCATTTGTACTTTTTAGTTTCTACCATGGGGAAGACCTTTCTTTGTCTAGGCCTTTATTATGTCCCATTGCCATGCACTTTGTATTCAGCCTTGTTCCTATCAGATGTTTATTGCTTTTTTTGACCAATTACTCTGACTATTTCCCTTAACCCTCCTGCCCAATACATTTTTTTTTTAAATTGGAGTCTTACTGTGCCGCCCAGGTTGGAGTGCAGTGGCATGTTCATAGCTACTGCAGCCTTGACCTGCTGGGCTCAGGTGATCCTCTGGCCTCACCTTTCCAAGTAGCTGGAACCACAGACACGTGCCATCACACCTGGCTAACTTTTTTGCTTTATTATAGAGATGAGGTCTTGCCAAGTTGCTCAGGCTGATCTTGAACCCCTGGACTCAGGCAGTCCTCTGGCCTCTGCCTCCCAAAGTGCTGGGATTACATATTACGTTGTTTCTTTTTGTGTTCTCTTCTCTAGTTCTGCAATTAAATACAATTTGGTTGTAGTTTTCTGATTTAGGACTTAGATTGTTTTTATTGTGTAATCTAAGAGCACACCAAATTTAAGTATACTTTTGTGACTTCTTTTTTTAGAGTTAGCCAGTCAGTGGGTATATCTGTGTGACCGCAAGGCCAGGCAGAACCTAAGTGATGGAGGTGAGCAGGGAAGGACAGTGGATGCTGCTGCTGACCTTTCATCATTGCCCCCACTGGCAGGAATATGAGGCCAGGGATATTGGTCTTTTGTTCTCTGCTCTGCACAAAGCAGTGACTGTAACATATTTAGTGCTCAATACATATTTGCTTAATGAATGAATGTGACAAAAAGTCATCTAAGAAAGGCAGTGGAAGTGGAAGCTAAATACTGGGTATGCATGGGCATAAGGGTGGGAACAACAGATGCTGGGGACTTCTAAAGTGGGGAGGGAAGGAGGAAGGGGGTAAGGATTGAAAAACCACCCTTTGGATACTATGCTCATCATCTGGATGATGGATTCTGTAGAAGCTCAAACCTCACTACCATGTAACATACGTATAACAAACCTGCACATGTACCCCTTGAATCTAAAATTAAAAAAAAAAAGAGAAAGAAAAGCAATAATGACTTTTTCCAGGAAATTTCCAGATTTTGAAATCATGGTAGCAAGTTACAAACTTTAAAAACCATGTGGTGCATCTGAGACATGTCTCTCAAGCTGCCAATTTGTGGCCTTTAATCTTGCATTTCCTGTCATGTGCCATGGACACGGATGCTTCTGTCTCTAAAACCCTGGTTAGATCAGAAAAGTCTATAGGCCTCAATTTAGACGTCTGACATTATCTTCACCTGAGAAATGCAAGCAAACATTAAAATAAACTATCTAATTTTAGCTTTTTCTTGGCATTGCTTCTTTTAAAAAAAAAATTAAAAAATCTCTTTTTGTGTGCCAGGGACTTGCTCTGTTGGCTAGGCTGAAGTGCAGTGGCATGATCACAGTTTGTCACTACCGCCTCAACCTCCTGGGCTCAGGCAATCCTCCCGAGTAGCTGGGAATTCAGGAATGCACTACAGCACCTGGCTAAGTTTTTAATTATTATTATTTTTTGTAGATACGGGGGTCTCCCTATGTTGCACAGGCTGGTCTTGAACTCCTGGCCTCAAGCAGTCCTCCCAAAGTGCTAGGTTTACAGGTGTGAGCCACCATACCAGAACTTTAAACATTAAAAAAAAAATGTATCAGGAGTTTTTTTTTTTTTTGAGTTGGAGTCTCACTCTGTCGCCCAGACTAGAGTGCAGTGGCCCCTCCCGGCCACCGCAGCCTCGACCTGCTGGGCTCCAGTGATCTTTCTGCCTCTGCCTTCCTAGTAGCCGGAATTATAGGTGCGCGCTACCACGCCCGGCTAATTTTTTGATTTATTGTAGAGATGTGGTCTCGTCTGCCCAGGCGGGTCTCGAACTCGTGGGCTCAGGCAACCCGCTCACCTCAGCCTCCCAAAGGTGCGGGATTACAGGCTGAGCCACCGAGCCTGGCTATTGGAGTATTTTTAAAAATGAAGGAGGCTGGGCTTTCTCATGAGTCTGAGAGATCCGGTGTGATCCTTATGCTTTCATACACATATTTCCCATGAAGTCTCTGACCGTTTTATTACTGTGGGATTGCCTTTGTGGACCCTTGAAGTTAATTTTTCCCTCCTGATGTTTGGAGCACGTTATTCTGTTTGATACTTAGCAGTTATTACTTTGTGTCTTTATTGGTTCATCTCTAGTTAGAGCTAATGCTTCTTTTCTTGTCTGTGCTGTTGTACTCTGTCTCTCTTGTGTGTGTGTGTGTGTTTAAATAAATGAGTTTAAAACATAAATAAGTACATAAATGGGCTCGGTGGCTCAGCCTGTAATCCCGCGCCTTTGGAAAGCTGAGTGGATTGCCTGGGCCCCCGGGTTCGTGACCCGCCTGGGCAACTTGGTGAAACCTCATCTCTACCGTAAATCAAAAAATCAGCTGGCATGGTAGCGCGTGCCTGTAATTCTGGCTACTCGGAAGGCTGAGGCGGAAGGATCCCCGGAGCCCAGCAGATCGAGGCTGCAAGTGGCAGGGAGCAGCCACTGCACTCCAGTCTGGGCGACAGAGTGAGACTCCAACTCAAAAAAAACAAAACAAAAAAACAAACCAAAAAAAAAAAAAAAACACATAAATAAGTGAGTTTATTCTTTAGTTTCTGTTTTTTTGTTTCCAAACAATATTTCTATTTTAAAATCAATCTCAATGGGTAAGGTCTAATGGTTAATAAATTGATTGTATCATTTAAATGATTAGAGCTCAAAACTTTAACCCAAATTCACAAAGTCTCTCTTTTTGGGGAGTCTGGTGATAAATACTTTAACTATAATTATCCATATAGTTGTTAGTTTCTTATATAAATAATTAATCAGAACTTATATTGTAAAACTCTTAAGTGACACTATTTTGTGCCATTTATTTATTGATTCCTTTTATGAGTTCTGCGTTCTCATTACCAGTTGCATTTGATGTAGATAAATTTTTTTTTCTATAATTCTGTGGTGTTGCCTTTGAATCAGACATGAATGCATTTCAGTATTACTTGAAGTAGATATTCAGAATAAAATACCCTATTTTTGATGGTTTTAGACTTTACTTTGAAGTAAAACCTAGATGACAAAAATTTTGTTCTAAAAAAATATTTCAAGGCTGGGTGTAGTGGCTCATGCCTGTAATCCCAGAAGGCAAGGTAGAAGGATGGCTTGAGCCCAGGAGTTTGAAACAAGCCTGGGCAGCACAGTGAGACCTTGTCTCTACAAAAAATAAAAAAAAAAATTAGCTGGGCGTGCTGATAGATGCTTGTAGTCACAGCTACTCAGGAGGCTAAGGAGGAAGGATTGCCTGAGCTCAGGAGGTCAAGGCTGCGTGGTCCGTGATTGTACCACGTACTCCAGCGTGGGTGACAGAGTGAGACCCCCAACTCAAAATCAATCAGTCAGTCAAAAATATAGTTTGTTTTTTTAAAATTCATGGTCTTACTCTGTTGCCTAGACTGAGTGCAGTGGTATGATCATGGGTCACTGGAAGCTTGACCTCCTAGGCTCAGGTGATCCTTCCTCCTAAGCCTCTTGAGTAATTGGGACTACAGGTGTGTGCCACCATGCCTGGCTAATTTTTTCATTTTTTGTAGCATCAAGGTTTTGCTATGTTGCCCAGGCTGGTTTCGAACTCCTGAGTTTAAGCAGTCCTCCCATCTTGGCTTCCCAAAGTGCTGGGATTATAGGTATGAACCACTACACCTGGCCTAATAGTATTTTAAATTGTTGACATTTGGTATTCAGTAACTTATTTTGCCTTTTTTGATTCTTTGTTGCCGTAAGTATTTTATAATATTATAATAATATAGTGATTAACAAATATGTAAATATTATATAGACTTATTAATACTATACCCAGACACCACTTTATCATAATTACTCATATATCATTATTCTGATTTAAATTATATTTAACAAAAATCTTTTGCGGACTTAACATTTTCTTTGCACATTCAATGCTAAGAAACGCTGAAAGAGCTAACTGATTTGCTTGCCAAAAATGGAGTAATTTTTTCCTCTCTGAAATTTGCCATTCATTAGATCTGAAGACCACCAGTAGGATATTTCCTTCGGGAATTTTGACTTTTAAGAATGGAATTAAAAAAAAAAAAGAATGGAATTTAGTGAAAGAGGATATGGAAGGATTTACTGATTAACATGAACAGGCAAAGAGTTTGGGCAGTTCTAATAACCTCCTGTGTGGCCCCTTGTAGGCAGCTGATTCTACTGGGCGAAACTGATCTTGTTTGGGTACCTGTGAATGTATATGATGAGTGAGCCTGTAGGTTTAAAATGTCTCATGATGTTTTACAGTTAAACATTAATAGCTCATATTGTTATTTTTAGGAGCTGGTGATGATACACGAACTTGGGGGCCACCTTTTGTGGGGACAGAAAGTATATATTATCTCAGTGTTAATCGAAATAAAAAAGTAAGAATATCATCCCTCTTTTGCATTCTTTGTAACTAATATTTCAAGTGAGATGATTTTATTCATTCCCCAGTCACCAAATAAAAACAATAGAGCTTTTTACTAATCTTCCTTTTCTACTAAATAACTTAAAACATTGCATGAGAATTTATGATGGAAGTAATTTTATGAGAGAAATAATTTGAATCAATTGATTCTTTACATCTGTTATTCTCTTGGAGAACAGTAATTGCCTAACACTTTGTATTATTATTTAAAAACACTTGCTATAATCCTTGCTATCATCCTTACATATCCTATTTGTAAATAAAATCAGTAACAATGATTTAAGTATTTCTTCATGATTAAAATGGGCTTACTTTAAGATGATAAACTTAAAGTATGAATGACTTTCTTGTTGAACTGTCAGTAATAAGAAATACCTTTATGATAGGATTTTAATATATATATTTTAATTTTTAGAGTATTGCTGTTAATATCAAGGATCCAAAAGGGGTGAAAATCATCAAAGAGGTACAGTATACTCTGTGGAAGGCATCTTACCACCTAGGTTGTAATTAGGGATTTGAACATCAGCGTAATAATATTTTAAGACTTAATTTTATTGATAATTTGTACTTTTGTGATAAATGCATTTTAATAATTTATGTTGATTTTTGTACTTTTATAGTAACTGCAATGTGCTTTATAATTTTTTGTATATTGTGTTTGAATGATTGTACTAGATACTGCTGACTGATTTTCTACTCTACATCAGATCCTGGCCTTGTGCACTTTACTTACATTATCTCCTCTACTCAGAATTTGTCTTACAAATGAAGTATCAGAATCCCCATTTTCATAGAAGGGAATTGAGTCTCAAGGGGGTCCAAGTGATGCTCCAAACATTACATAGCTAGCAAGGGGAAAAGCTGGCGCTTAGACCTGGGCATACATTGGAGAGGCCAAACTTTTTCTAACACTTAGGTGGCCAGTATATTCAGACTTGATCTTAATGTCTTTCTTTGAGGGGCAGAAAGGCACAGTGGGTAAGAATTCCAGCGTTCTCATGGGAGTCAAATCCTGTCTTTACTTACTAAGCTATATGGCTTCAGGCAGTTTACTTAACTTCCTTGTGACTCAGTTTCTTCATCAATAAACTGGGTGTAATAATAGTATCTACTTTCTAGGGTTGCTGTTAGAATTAATATGTGTAAAATGTTTAGACAAGTGCTTGCCACGTAGTCAGCACTCATTAAGTATTACCTATTATTTCCTGTTGCACATGATGGTGAGATAAAACTTGTTTGCCACCCTTGTTAAGGTTTACAATAGAATCTAATGGATGTACGGTGTCCCTCAGTATTTGGGGGATTGGTTCCAGGACTCTCGTGTGTATCAAAATCTGCTCATTCTCAAGACTTGTAGTCGGTCCTGCAAAATGAAAAGTCAGCCTTCAGTGTATGTAGATTTTGTACTCTGTGAATACTGTATTTTCCATGTGTGTTTGGTCGGGAAAAAAACACATATAAGTGGACCTGCCTAGATCAAACCTGTGTTGTTCAAAGGTCAGTTGTGTATCTCTTTGATTACAGAACCAAATCCCACATTTTAAAATTAATTAATTAATTTTTTATTTTATTTTATTTTTAATTTTAAAGATGTAGGGTACAATTCAGGATTAGGTATACAAATGGTCATCATATAGGTAAAATTTGAGCCTCTCTTTGGTCCCCATTTCGTCTGGTTTGAGATCAGGTACACTTATTTTTAAAAATTTTTTTATTTTTATTTTATTTTATTTTAAACATATGTGGTACAATTCATGACTAGGTATATAAATGGACATCATACAAGTAGAGTTTGGGCCTCCCTTTGGTCCCCACTTTGCCTAACTTGAGATCAGATACCCTTATTGATGTTGTGTTCTCCCCCTCCTTCCCATTCTCCCCCCTCCCAACCCAGCAGTGTTCCACTACTGCCAGTTCCTTTCTCACCGTATTATGGTAAATGTTCTGGGTTTGCTTATGGGTGGCAACATGTGGTACTCTGTTCTTTGTTTCTGTAATAGATCACTGAGTATGATAGACTGTGATCCATACAAGTTGCTGCAAAGTCCATATGTTTGTCCTTCTTTATGGTTGCATAATATTCCATCATTTATATGTACCACATTTAAAAAATCCAGTCCAGTTTTGATGGGCAACACAGTTGGTTCCATGTTTTTGCTATTGTAAATGGTGCTACAATACACATGTGTGTGCAGGTATCTTTTTTTGGTAGAATGGTTTGAGTTCCTCCAGGTATATTCCCAGTAGGGGGATTGCTGGGTCATATGGAGGGTCAATTTCTAGTTCTTTTAGAAATCACCACACTGTTTTCCAAAGAGGTTGCACTAGTTTGCATTCCCACCAGCTGTGTAGAAGTTTTTTTTTTTTTTAAACCAAAGCATCAACTTTAGCTTCATTGTTCTACTGCTACTTTATCTATTTTAG